CTGCAATTATTTGAAAAATATAATAAAAACTGTAATATTGTGAAATAATATTACAATTTAAAATAATAGTTTTCTATTTTAATATATTTTAAAATGTAATTTATATCTGTGATTGCAAAGCTACATTTTCATCAGCCATTACTCCACATAATCCTTCAGAAATAATTTAATATGCTGATTTGGTAACATTTCTTACTATAATCAGTGTTTAAAAAGAGTTGTGCTTCTAACATTTTTGTGGAAACTGTGATGGCCTTTTTTAAGATTCTTTGATGAATACACAGTTCAAAAGAACAGCATTTATTTGTAATAGAAATCCTTTGTAGCATTATAAATATCTTTGTTGTCACTTTTGATGCATCCTTGCTGAAGGAAAGTATTAATTTTTTATTTTTTTTTAATCCTACTGACCTCAGACTTTTGAACGGTAGTGTATGTCAAACACTGTCTGCTTATTTGAGTAGTCTGACATGTCAAGTTAAGGCTCAATCAATTCTGTGAGGTTTGGGTGACGCCACTGTACCTGTTTATCCATCCATTGCAGACGAGGCAGGGCAAAATGGACTGTAAGAGGATTTGAGACCCTTTCAGACCTTCTAGACACTTTGAGGTTTTCTGGGTGAAGAGAGGTGAAATGGCTTGTCATGTTCCGTCTCTTGCTCTCTCAGGAGAGCATGCTTATTTTATATTTGTGGGACAAAGGTTCATTCTCTTGGAGTTCTGCTAAAATTACCCTCTTAGCATGCAACAGCCCTTCATTATCTCTCCGTCTATCCTCCATTCATCCATCCCCCCCTCCATTTTCACCATTCTTTTAATCTCTGCTGTCCTCAAATCCATCTAATTCTCTCCATTTATTCTTCTTTAGTTCTACCCTTCTCTCCATTATTCCTCCATCCTCTTCTCTTTCTGCTCTGTTCATCCAATGTGAAGAAAGGATGCAGGGGGGGAGGCGGTGGGAGGCGCAGTTTGCAGCGCTCCGGTGTCTGTTCCTTTCCCTGCTGATCTAAGACGTGTTGCAGAACCGTGCCGGTTGGATTTTTTTGGGACGGGAAGCCGCTCTGGGTTGAGCAGTGTTCAGTTTATATAAAGACAGCTGTCAGCACAGGAGTGTGTGCCACTTCTAAACACTCCACTCATCGCTGACTCACTCTAACTTCTTATTATTATTAATGTTGAAAACAGGTGGGCCACTTAATATTCTTTTAAAACCATTTTTTAAGATTCTTTGATGAATACACAGTTCAAAAGAACAGCATTTATTTGTAATAGAAATCCTTTGTAGCATTATAAATATCTTTGTTGTCACTTTTGATGCATCCTTGCTGAAGGAAAGTATTAATTTTTTATTTTTTTTTAATCCTACTGACCTCAGACTTTTGAACGGTAGTGTATGTCAAACACTGTCTGCTTATTTGAGTAGTCTGACATGTCAAGTTAAGGCTCAATCAATTCTGTGAGGTTTGGGTGACGCCACTGTACCTGTTTATCCATCCATTGCAGACGAGGCAGGGCAAAATGGACTGTAAGAGGATTTGAGACCCTTTCAGACCTTCTAGACACTTTGAGGTTTTCTGGGTGAAGAGAGGTGAAATGGCTTGTCATGTTCCGTCTCTTGCTCTCTCAGGAGAGCATGCTTATTTTATATTTGTGGGACAAAGGTTCATTCTCTTGGAGTTCTGCTAAAATTACCCTCTTAGCATGCAACAGCCCTTCATTATCTCTCCGTCTATCCTCCATTCATCCATCCCCCCCTCCATTTTCACCATTCTTTTAATCTCTGCTGTCCTCAAATCCATCTAATTCTCTCCATTTATTCTTCTTTAGTTCTACCCTTCTCTCCATTATTCCTCCATCCTCTTCTCTTTCTGCTCTGTTCATCATCCCGTGTATCTGTTTGAGCAAATCACCATGTGTGTTCAAGAAAGTGTGAGAACTGAAGAAAGTCTGTGTGCGTGGCTGTCCATCTGTCTGGGAAGGTGTGCCTGTTTAAACCAGCATGTGAGCTTTAAAGCAGCATGTGTATGTGATCATGTCTGAGTTAGCTCAGACTGTTCAGAGACTTTGCAGCTTGTTTCTGTATGCCCGTGTTGGCGCTTGTGTGCATAAACTTGTGCATCCTGATACGCATGCTTTCCTATGCAAAAAGCAGTATGGGAAATGAGTAGTTTTTGAGTAGTACCGGTATTAATGAATCGTTAGATAGATGATGCACTGCACTTGTGACTTGTGCACCTGCTGGATGTTTATTCCATTATTTTGATATTCCAAGCTTTTTCTGAGTAAAAGTCAAAGGTCAATGCTAATATGGCTGATGCAATATGTCCAGAAATTTTTTTATTCTACACACCTAAACATTTTCATACCTAAAGAATGCATCAATGGTTAAGAAGTTCTTTTTAATTTTATAGACTAAAACATACAGAACATGAACCTCATAACAGAACTTCTATATATCTTCAAAATAAGTAAATTACTTGTTTGATATTAAAGAGACAGATCACTCAATTGACAGATCACTCAGATGACAATTCTGTCATCATTTACTCAATGCAATACCAATCCAAACCTGTATGCATTTTTTTTCTTCTTCTGCTGAACACAAAAGATGATATTTTGAAGAATGTTCCCATTGACTTCCAATGTCATTTTGACCATGTATTTTGTTTTTGTAGTTAGCATTTAATTAGCATACTTAAACCTTCATAATCAATAATTAATCAATACTTAATGTCCCCATATTTAAGCAGAACAATTTTTTTTTAGGAAATATGCTAAATTTAAACTTGAAGATTAAGGTTATTTTTTTGAAAGAAAGGAAAACTGTCATAGGTTTAACAGACAGTTAAAATAAATAATTTTTCTTTTATTTCATATGTCAGGCTTGGGTTAGCTGTGTATATTTTTCTGCCTATGTGCACTTTAACCAGACGCCATTACAGAAAAACCATCACACCCACCTCTGTCATCTGCTCCCTTCACCCGGCACCCTTTTCGGAATCACTCTGAGGGTAGGCCGCCCGGTTTGCCTCGTCTCACAGGAAACTCCTAGAGCCTCTGCCTGGAAACATCTGAGACAGAGAACAGATGGCACTGTGATTTCTGACAATTGTGAACATGTTTTCCCCCCAACTGTGTCTGTGTGTGTGTTTGTGCTCTTTTAGCTATCTAGACCTCCGCTCCTGTAGACTATACACCCTTGGGTGTGTATTTGTATGAATGAGAGAGTGAGAAAGAAAGGGAGAGTGGAGGAAATATGTGTGTTTATGTTATTTTCAGGCCTACTTGCTGCTGTGGGTCTAACCCAAGAGTCATCATGGATTAAAAGCACTGGGAAACGCTCCACAGGTCCGTCACTCAGCACACTCGGATCCAAACGAGTACAACGGGGTGTTGACAGACCTTCTCTTTTAATGCTGATCTCAGAGCGGTATTCCACAATCTCTTATTACAATGGGAATTTGAATGTAGATGAGAATGACTGCTCTCAAACCAGCATAAATGGGAGACTAAGCGTGAAAATGCACCGGGGGGCCCACGGGTCAGGGATGATGATGAACTGACAGAGCGCATGGAGGAGCTGAACCCCACTGTTTGTCCTGAAATGGCTCCAACATATAAAAGCCCTTGCAGTAAAGGTGTGTATATGTGTGTGTGTGTGTGTGTGTGAGGTTCACTGTCTACAGGCTCGTACGGAAAGTAAATCAGGGGCCTATTCTACCGTAAATGTCACTCGCCCTGCCTCTCGTCTCCTGTCACTGGCAGAGCATTTTGCGGGTTATGAGACTGGATGTACACCAATACTTTGCCTTAAAGGTGTCCAGAAGATGCTGGAAGAGACTCGTGCACAAGATGAACTGTGAATTTTGGTCTCTGTGTGTTTTATAAGACAGCATCCATAAGGAAAGGCAATTAAGCTGAATGGTAAATGTCAGATATTTCTGTATTTTGTCTCTGGCACTGTAGAGACGTCCAACATATTTTAAGCAAAGTTGTGCCCTTTGAGGGGCATATAATGTGGTAAATAGCAGAGTAAATGAGTTCCCTTTCAGTCAGTCGCGTTCGACGTTATGTCAGTCGTGACTGACGAATTGGGATCTCGCCCGAGAGCCCAATCACCTTAGAGTGTTAACTAAACAAGCCAATGGCAGTTGGCGTGCGTGTTTCGTCACGCGCACCCCGCCCCGCAGCACGGGTATAAAAGGAGAGCGCGTGCAAACGCACATCAGCTTTTCGCTTCGGAGCCGAGCCTTCTAGCAAGACTGAATCTCCGCGAGTGTCTACGAGACAGCCTTAGCGTTGGTGTCACGGCGCATCAGCGGGGGTTGCCATCCAGTGCTGCTTCTCTTCGGCATGCTGCAGCTTCCCATTCTGCGGTCTAGCCGCGACCTCCCCATGGCGCTTCAGCGCTCTCTCTAAAAGAGTGTTTTCCAAAATAAAAAAACCTAAAAGAGCAATATCTAAAAGAGCGACGGGCGTCTTTTTAAAGATGGCTTCCCGCTCGTGCGTTTCTGGATGTGGTCGTTTCCTTCCTTCATCTGACGGTCATGATCGCTGTATCTCGTGCTTGGGCGGGCAGCACGCTGAAGCAGCGCTCATGGATGAGTCATGTTCTCAGTGCGGGAACATGACCATCGCGACGTTGCGGTCTAGATACCTCCTCATTAAACGGGGGGGTATCCCCCTTGCCATGCCCCGCTCTAGCTCCTCCGGTTCTCGGAGGGCTACTTCGGTTCATGGTCAGGGAGATCTGAGAATCACAGTGAGAGCTTCCCCGTCAAGTGCGTCTCCGCGGGCCTCTCATTCCTCAAGCATGGCACTGGAGGCCTCCTCCTTCTCCCGAACGCTCGAGGCTGGACGATTGGTTCCTGGGGGCGCAGGCCGGTCGTCGGCAGCCTCCTCCGGTTCCATTCTTCCCGGAAGTGCATGAGGAGGTGACTAAGTCTTGGAGGGCACCTTTTTCTGCCCGAAACAGGCCTGGTGCCTCCTCCGTCCTCACCACCCTCGACGGTGGGGCGGCCCAAGGGTATGTGGACATCCCCCCCAGTCGAGTGCGATATTGCCATGTAGCTCTGCCCGCAAAGTGCGTCCGCCTGGAGGAGTAATCCACGCCTTCTGTCCAGGGCCTGTAGGTTTTCGTCCGCTCTGACGGCTATGGCTTACAGTGCTGCTGGACAGGCCGCTTCCGCCCTGCACGCCATGGCCCTCCTGCAAGTCCACCAGGCCAAGGCGTTGAAGTTCTAGCTCCTCCGGTTCTCGGAGGGCTACTTCGGTTCATGGTCAGGGTGATCTGAGAATCACAGTGAGAGCTTCCCCGTCAAGTGCGTCTCCGCGGGCCTCTCATTCCTCCAGCACATTGCACCACCTGGTGTTCCCGGACGAGCTTGCTGGATCCTCGGACAGGGCGGGGCCCAGCATCTCGTGCGGAGCACAGGCGGATGACAGGATGTCGATCGCTGCATCGGAGGGCGAGCTAGGCTCTGGAGATGACGATTCGGCTGCGCTGCCTCCGTCAGGAAGAGTGGCGTTGCCCGAGTCAGATCCAGAGCTGACTGCTATGCTTTCCCGGGCCGCCGAGAGCGTCGGGCTGCACTGGAGGCCTCCTCCTTCTCCCGAACGCTCGAGGCTGGATGATTGGTTCCTGGGGGCGCAGGCCGGGCGTCGGCAGCCGCCTCCGGTTCCATTCTTCCCGGAAGCGCATGAGGAGGTTACTAAGTCTTGGAAGGCACCTTTTTCTGCCCGAAACAGACTTGGTGCCTCCTCCGTCCTCACCACCCTCGACGGGGGGGCGGCCCAAGGGTATGTGGACATCCCTCCGGTTGAGCGCGCTATTGCCATGCAGCTCTGCCCGCAAAGCGCCGCCAGCTGGAGAGGTGGTCCACGCCTTCCGTCCAGGGCCGGTAAGTTCTCGTCCGCTCTGACGGCTAAGGCTTACAGTGCTGCTGGACAGGCCGCTTCCGCCCTGCACGCCATGGCCCTCCTGCAAGTCCACCAGGCCAAGACGTTGAAGCAGCTGCACGAGGGTGGTGCTGACCCAGGTGTGCTGCAGGAACTGCGCACGGCGACGGACCTCGCGCTTAGGGCGACGAAAGTCACGGCGCGGGCCCTGGGTCAGACGATGTCCACACTGATGGTCCAGGAGCGCCACCTATGGCTGACCTTGGCGGATATGAGGGAGGCCGACAAGCATCGCTTCCTGGACTCCCCGATCTCCCAGGCCGGCCTATTCGGCGAAGCGGTGGAGGGCTTTGCCCAACAGTTCTCCGCCGCGCAGAAGCAGACGGAGGCGTTTCGACACATCCTGCCCCGGCGGTCTGCTGCTGTCTGCACCCCACCGCCGGCTGCAGCCCCTCTGTCTGCTCGTCGCCGAGGGCGCCCTCCTGCGGCCTCCACCTCCGCTCCGGCGCGGCCACAACAGCAGCCTTCACAACGGCAGCAGCGTGGAGCTGGCCGCAGGAAACCGGCGCAACCCGCCTCCGCCCCTGCCAAGCCCGTGAAGCGCCAGAGCAGGCGGCGTCCCTGAGACGGGCGACCCGGAGCTCTTGGATCCTGCTCTTCAGGAGATGGTGACTGCACCACTCCTTCCCCCGGAGGAGGGCCGGGTGGAGAATCTTATGTTTCCGTTTGTTTTTGTAGCCAGTGGTACCCAAAACTTCAATAAAAGAGCAGTTTCCTTTGCCTCCGGGTCCCAAGAGGGCGAGGATGGCGGTGCACGAGACCCTGTCTCCACACGACCGTCCCCCTCTCCTTTCGCCGATGGGCAGCAGGGTCCGGTTCGGGGACGCTGTGCCTCCTCACGAGCCCCCTGCCCAGCTATGGAGCCAGGTAAGTGGTGCGCCGCGCACTCAGACCCCACCCTCGGACGCACGGCCTCCCGGGTTGGGTCCCTGTGTTCCACCTCGCTGCCCCACTGCAGGTACGTCGGTGGGTTCCCTGGTCCCGCTAGTTCGGTCGCTGGGGGCCTGGTTAGCGCTCCCCAGGCCGTCTCGCTGGCTCATGAGAACCATCAGACTCGGCTACGCGATTCAATTCGCCCGGCGCCCTCCCAAGTTCAGGGGCATTCGGTTCACCTCGGTGCTGGACAAGGATGCTCCTGTCTTGCGTGCAGAAATCGCGGTCCTGCTGGCGAAGGACGCGATACAGCCGGTCCCTCCAGCCGAGATGAGGTCGGGTTTCTACAGCCCGTACTTCATCGTACCCAAGAAAGACGGTGGGTTACGACCGATCCTGGACCTGCGCGTACTGAACCGGGCCCTTCACAAGCTCCCGTTCAGGATGTTGACGCAGAAACGCATCTTTCAATGCGTCCGTCCTTTCGATTGGTTCGCAGCGATCGACCTCAAGGACGCGTACTTTCATGTCTCGATTCTCCCTCGACACAGACCGTTTCTCCGCTTTGCGTTCGAAGGGCGAGCATATCAGTACAAGGTCCTCCCCTTCGGGCTATCCCTGTCGCCTCGTGTCTTCACCAAGGTCGTGGAGGCAGCCCTCGTTCCATTGAGGGAAGCGGGCATTCGCGTTCTCAACTACCTCGACGACTGGCTCATATTGGCCCAGTCCCGAGCGCAGTTGTGCGAACACAGGGATATGGTGCTCAGTCACCTCAGCCGATTGGGGCTTCGGGTCAACTGGGAAAAGAGCAAACTCTCCCCGGTGCAGAGGATCTCTTTTCTCGGCATGGAGCTGGACTCGGTCAACCTCTCAGCACGTCTCTCAGTAGAGCGTGCGCAGTCGATGCTGAACTGCCTGGGGTCCTTCCAGTGCAAGACGGCGGTTCCACTGAAACAATTTCAGAGGCTCCTGGGGCATATGGCATCCGCAGCCGCTGTCACGCCGCTCGGGTTGCTTCATATGAGACCGCTTCAGCGTTGGCTTCACGACCGGGTCCCGAGATGGGCATGGCGACACGGCACTTACCGGGTTCCTGTTACCCCGTTCTGCCGTCAGACCTTCAGCCCGTGGGCAGATCTTGCCTTTCTTCGGACAGGGGTGTCCCTTGGGCAAGTATCCAGGCATGTTGTTGTGTCAACAGATGCCTCTGCCAGGGGCTGGGGTGCCATGTGCAATGGGAATGCAGCTGCGGGGCTCTGGTCGGGGCCCCGACTGCAGTGGCATATCAACTGCCTCGAGTTGCAAGCAGTATGGCTAGCTCTGCGCCGCTTCAAATCGCTGCAACACGACAAGCATGTACTGGTCCGTACGGACAACACTGCGACCGTTGCGTACATCAACCACCAGGGCGGTCTACGCTCCCGTCGCATGTCGCAACTCGCCCGCCATCTCCTCCTCTGGAGTCAGAAGCATCTGAGGTCGCTTCGCGCCGTTCACATCCCAGGCGAGCTCAATCGTGCAGCCGACGAGCTCTCACGTCAGCCCGCCCTTCCGGGAGAATGGCGACTCCACCCCGAGACAGTCCAGCTGATTTGGAGACGCTTTGGGGACGCTCAGGTAGACCTGTTTGCCTCCCCGGACACATCCCATTGCCAGTTGTTTTACTCCCTGGCCGAGGGGACCCTCGGCACGGACGCACTGGCGTGCAGCTGGCCTCGGGGCCTACGCAAATATGCGTTTCCCCCAGTGAGCCTTCTCGCACAGACACTGTGCAAGGTCAGGGAGGACGAGGAGCAGGTCCTCTTGGTAGCGCCATATTGGCCCAGTCGGACTTGGTTCCCCGAACTGATGCTCCTCGCGACAGCCCCTCCTTGGCAAATTCCTCTGAGGAGGGATCTCCTTTCTCAGAGAGGGGGCACCCTCTGGCACCCGCGTCCAGACTTGTGGAATCTCCACTTGTGGTCCCTCTGCCAAGCCCGTGAAGCGCCAGGGCAGGCGGCGTCCCTGAGACGGGCGACCCGGAGTTCTTGAATCCTGCTCTTCAGGAGATGGTGACGCGCACCACTCCTTCCCCCGGAGGAGGGCTGGGTGGAGAATCCTTTGTTCCCGTTTTGTTCTGTTCCGCCACTGGCTACCCAGCCCCGGGTACATCGGTGGTTTCTCTAGTCCCGCTTGTTCGGTCGCTGGGGGCCTGGCTAGCGCTCCCCAGGCCATCTCGCTGGCTCGTGAGAACCATCAGACTCGGCTATGCGATTCAATTCGCCCGGCGCCCTCCCAAGTTCAGGGGCATTCGGTTCACCTCTGTGCTGGACAGAGATGCTCCTGTCTTGCGTGCAGAGATCGCGGTCCTGCTGGCGAAGGACGCGATACAGCCGGTCCCTCCAGCCGAGATGAGGTCAGGGTTTTACAGCCCATACTTCATCGTACCCAAGAAAGGCGGTGGGCTACGACCAATCTTGGATCTGCGCGTGCTGAACCGGGCCCTTCACAAGCTCCCGTTCAGGATGTTGACGCAGAAACGCATCTTTCAATGCGTCCGTCCTTTCGATTGGTTCGCAGCGATCGACCTCAAGGACGCGTACTTTCATGTCTCGATTCTCCCTCGACACAGGCCGTTTCTCCGCTTTGCGTTCGAAGGGCGAGCATATCAGTACAAGGTCCTCCCCTTCGGGCTATCCCTGTCGCCTCGTGTCTTCACCAAGGTCGTGGAGGCAGCCCTCGTTCCATTGAGGGAAGCGGGCATTCGCATTCTCAACTACCTCGACGACTGGCTCATATTGGCCCAGTCCCGAGCCCAGTTGTGCAAACACAGGAATATGGTGCTCAGTCACCTCAGCCGATTGGGGCTTCGGGTCAACTGGGAAAAGAGCAAACTCTCCCCGGTGCAGAGGATCTCTTTTCTCGGCATGGAGCTGGACTCGGTCAACCTCTCAGCACGTCTCTCAGTAGAGCGTGCACAGTCGATGCTGAACTGCCTGGGGTCCTTCCAGGGCAAGACGGCGGTTCCACTGAAACAATTTCAGAGGCTCCTGGGGCATATGGCATCCGCAGCCACTGTCACGCCGCTCGGGTTGCTTCATATGAGACCGCTTCAGCGTTGGCTTCACGACCGTGACACCAACGCCAGCTGTTTTCCAAACACTCGCGGAGATTCGTCCTGAGAAGGCTCGGCTCCGAAGCGAAAAGCTGATGTGCGTTTGCACGCGCTCTCCTTTTATACCCGCGCTGCGGGGCGGGGTGCGCGGGGCGAAACACGCACGCCAACTGTCATTGGCTTGTTTAGTTAACATTCGAAGGTGATTGGGCTCTCGGGCGAGATCCCAATTCGTCAGTCACGACTGACGTAACGTCTCCGTTCCCTCCTTCAGGGAACGAGGGTTACATACGTAACCGAGACGTTGTACATTCTGAAGAAAATGTGAGTGGTGTTTGCCTATGAAAAACTCACTGCCACAATGCTAGGGTGATAATGTTGGTTGCCAGGGTGTTGATTTACGGTTGTTAAGGTGCTCTGGGTGTTTTTTTTTTTAAGTGTATTGCTATTGGAGCATGATATTGATACCAAATCGATTATCTTATTATATTATGTTATATTATATTAATCAACATTAGCCAGTATTCTATATTTTATTAGACATGCTTATTTCCTCTAGTTTACATTTAGAATACTGTTGCCACCATGTAATGCTTAAATGTAAAAAAACACTACTAATTTAATAACACTGTAAAATGTCATCTTTAACAAATCTAAAAATGAATATTAATTTCATACTGTACATTATAATGTTATAATGCCGAAATGTAATGGTGACATTTAATTTTAGTTTTTAAATATTTATTTTTAATTTTAGCAATGTAAAGAAATTTTTTTTTTAGAAATTTATATTTAGTTAAAAATAATAATTTATAATAAAAATAATAAAAAGATAATTCAATTCTAAATTTAGATGAAATATTACAATTTCTCTACTACCAGCCATTTATTGGTTATTGTTCATAATAAAAAATAATAACAATTATAATTATTATTATTGGCTTATCGTATCTGCCAGGATTTTTATATTGGTGTATCTCTAGTTGATATGTGGTTGCTATAGGGTGTTTTGGGTGGTTCCTGTTCCAAGTCAAAACTGTCTATGATGTTCAGGTTACTCCTATTTTAATTTCTGTATCATGCCTCAGAATATTAGTTCATATCATCTTCATAAACAAATCTTCATGAACAAGCTGTACATTTCCCTTTTAGCCCTGAGGCCAAACATTTAACCAATAAACCTACTGCAAGGCTAATGTAGAAAATCTGTGTACGTGGATGACCTGATAAGTAGAAATGAGATCCTGCAATGGCATTTGATATGTGAGGGAACATTAATGGAGGGCCACGCATTACTATAACTACAGGGGTGGAATGAACATTAATGGTGTAAAGGTACATCTAGGAGGTCAAAGGCTGGGATATACGAGTAGCAAAGGGAAGGGTAAAGGTGTCACACAGGTGAAAGGTGAGACCCCAGGAAGATGCAAATCTCCCACAGGGTGTCCACGAATCTCTGCAGTTTCCCCGGGGACTCGTTTAGGTGTGAAGCAGCCATGGGCAGATGGATCAACTGGGCCGGTGTATCTGTGAAACTCGCTCATTATAGGCTCGGCTGACTGTGATAACCTGATCGGTTTAACAGTTTCTCTTATAACGACTGAGGTTTTGATTTGGAAACAGGGAGGGGGTGATTCTAGACCAGTATGAAAGGGCAACTATTTACAGGCTCCAATGACTGTGATGTTCTGCGAAGGTCCTTAAGACAGCAGCTCCCAGAGAGATGGTTAAGACATATCCAGTTACACCAATAAGCCCTATCCTCCACATAAAGCAAGCAGCCATGACCAGTCACACATTAGTCATCATTACTGTGAGTGCACTTGTGTGAAGGAGGGGCATATTACCAGTCAGCATGCTGGCAGTATGTGCGCGTTGGGGGTGAATGCACTAGATGTGATGCGTGAGGCCTCTGACAGCTTTAGATTCAAAAAGCATATGTACAGCATGTATGTCTAATTACCCATCACAGCATATGAGTGCAAGCTACAGTAGTGTGTGTGTGTGTGTGTGTGTGTGTGTGTGAGAGACAGCGAGAGCGTACAGAGGCATTGTGTGTGTGCTTGTGTATTCACCTGCTTGTGCTTTGTAGACGTCTATCTGAGAGTGTGATGTGGATTAGAGGAGTAATTGGCAGGCACTATGTACTGTCATGTCCCGGCAGGCTGTTTAGTATTGCGGCGTGTTTGCCGTGATCTGAGAGTCTGTTTCCAGGCCTGATCCTCCTCTTCCACCCTCTCTGACTATCTGAGCTTCAATTGACTCTGTCTGCTTCTTCTCACTGATCAATTTGCAGTTCAACCTGAATAATCTTGAATTTTACTTTTTTTTATATGAAGCTTTCTGTGAGGATGTTGGAGATGGTCACATCTGAAATCCAAAACTGGGAGTTCAAAATGTAAACCAGGACGAAGAGGAGGGTGTTTGGTTTAATGCTTTCGCAGGCGGATACATGGCACGGTATTATAGGACAAGTCGACCTTATGTTGGGCCGTGGCGGTGTAGATCGCGGGCGCCCCCTTTCGGTCGCTATTGCAACTGCGGACTTTCCTAGAGGTACAGATGAGGGAAGGGAAGTAACCAGTTGCGTGAAAAACTAAAAGACAGCTTAAATGACAACAGCCGTACAGTGATTTTTCAGGTCAAAACAGTAAAAAAACGATGCGTTTTGACACGTTTTTTCCATGTTATGTGTGTGTGTGTGTGTGAGAGAGAGTGAGTGAGTGAGTGAGACAGCCATACAGAGGCATTGTGCGTGTGCTTGTGTTTTCACCAGCGCGTACTTTGTAGACGACTATCTGAGAGTGTGATGTGGATTAAAGAAGTAATTGGCAGAATCTAGGCCTATGTACTGTCATGTCCCGGCAGGCTGTTTAGTATTGCGGCGTGTTTGCCGTGATCTGAGAGTCTGTTTCCAGGCCTGATCCTCCTCTTCCACCCTCTCTGACTATCTGAGCTTCAATTGACTCTGTCTGCTTCTTCTCACTGATCAATTTGCAGTTCAACCTGAATAATCTTGAATTTTACTTTTTTTTATATGAAGCTTTCTGTGAGGATGTTGGAGATGGTCACATCTGAAATCCAAAACTGGGAGTTCAAAATGTAAACCAGGACGAAGAGGAGGGTGTTTGGTTTAATGCTTTCGCAGGCGGATACATGGCACGGTATTATAGGACAAGTCGACCTTATGTTGGGCCGTGGCGGTGTAGATCGCGGGCGCCCCCTTTCGGTCGCTATTGCAACTGCGGACTTTCCTAGAGGTACAGATGAGGGAAGGGAAGTAACCAGTTGCGTGAAAAACTAAAAAAGAGCTTAAATGACAACAGCCGTACAGTGATTTTTCAGGTCAAAACAGTAAAAAAACGATGCGTTTTGACACGTTTTTTCCATGTTATAACACTGATAGAGGAAACAAATCAACTCCTCTGTTTAGGCATCGTAAGGAGGTTAATGGAATGTGCGAGATTTCTGGAAAGAGGAAAAATACCCGGATTGAGCCCAGAGAGAATACATTCGGCTGGAGGAAAAGTGAGCACACTGTGAAAAGACCCTCCTCCGCCACGTCTGAACCTGTTCTGTCAGTTCCTTTCAGCTCAAAGCCCACAGAAGAAGCCGGAGGAAAGAAGGAAGCTTTAATTAATTAACGGTACAAGCAAACAAGGAACTTTTTCACTGTGTTTTTCGCTCCTCAGTTCTCCGAGCAGACGGAACAGCTGGGCTCGCTCAGCAAGCGCACAAATCAACATCTACTGTTCCGCCTGTATAATATCCTCCAACGTCTGCTGTTATTTAAGGGGTTTGTTTATTCTGTCTTTCTGTGATCTCTCGGATATAAAGCGAAATTTCCGCAGGACGCTGTTCGGTCTATGGTTTAGATTTAAGAGGATTGTATCGTTTTTGTGATGTATAAGCCGTGAAGACGCCTGGTCACTATTTAATGTCCTGTCAGCACCGCAACAGTAACGTTATAGAAAATAAATTTGACGTCGGGGTAAAAGTGTCTGAAGAGGGAGCCTTATAAAAAAAAAAAAGGACCATGGTAACCATACTTTCCGCCTAAGTTACTACAGTTGTTACTACTGTAAAATTTAAATGAAATCTCATTCAATGTTATCTATCATTGTATGATTTCTTTTATGACGGGGACATCAAAGTTTTATTATAGTTACTATGGTATTTTGGAGTAAACTCTGGTTACCACAGTCATTTTTAAAGGCAGCTGAGAATTATTTAATTTTTTCCTTAAAATTATTGTTGTTCTATGAGATGGATTGTGGCTTGGATCCTGGGGCCTTGCGCTGAGGTTCCTGAAGCATCCAGAAGCAAGGCACTGCTACTGTAAAATTGGTATAGATAGGTAAACAGTGTTTGAATGTATGCCAATAATATAATTAAATGCAATAAATTAAAATAAAACTATTTTGGAGACTCTACAAGAGGCTGCTGTCCTGAGGCCTCACAGGACAATAATCCATCCTCAGGGTTCAGTACTTAAACATCAATTAGTATTTGTAAAGATAGATGCAGTGTACAAGGTGTGTACTAGGATGGGACTGGTTTTTATCCATTGAAAATTTACTAGAATTGTGAAAAGTGGATGTTACATACCAGAATTATAGGTGCTGTATGTAATTATTTGACTGTACTAAAGCAAAAATACCATAATATGTTTGTAGATATATAGGAAACATGCTAAGTTCACATATTTATTTCTCCGAAAAGCAATGTGGCAGTCATATATTCTACACTGAAATGTGTGTTCCGTGTCGGAATGTCTGTTTTTGTTTTGGTCTGTGTGATTCCGGCCACTGCCAATTTACCCAATACTATTTCAACACCCTAGGTTCCCATTTGGCGGAAAACTCAGCGTTTGACTGGGTCAGAGATCAGATTCTACCTGACCTAAAAAGCCTCGACTCACCAACTTACAGTGCAAGGCTCGGCACCATCCGTTATCAATTGCGCTCGTTCCTGTTGCATGTCCTCGGTCTGGCAACCTGCGTGAGCTTCGAGTCTGAGCAGGAGGGGGCGGGAGAAACAACACTCTCAAATATTTGAGACAGGGGTAGCTGCAGGTCAGAGTAATGGGCGTGGCAAAAGGTGGCGTGCCGAAAGCTGAATGCTACAACAGAAACTAACCCCTAACCCTAACAAATTAGAAAGACCTTTATCCACGCCCCCTACCTTTCGGCACACCCTAATCTTTCACCACGCCCACGGCTCCTGCCTGCAGTTACCCCTACTTGGAATATTTTGAATTTGGACTGCAGAACTAATTTCAACTGCTAGCTGTCAGTATTAAATACAGCACCTTTAAGTATTTGAAAAAAAACAAAAGTGATTGACAGTCAAAAAGAAAGTTATTTCAGAGGTGGAGCAAGAAGATAAACATTTTATTCTTTTGAATTTAGTGCACCGATTAATTATCCACAGTATAAATAGGAATATGTGGTATACAATAAATGAGATCAGTTTAACTTTCATGTTGACTCTAGCAATGTAATATACTTAGCCTTTGTTGAATGATATTTCAATATTTCTCTTTTTTTTTCTCTCCAGTTCTGCAATGGTGCCCACCTTTCCTGTTCCTCTCCTGTTTCTACAAGTGTTGGCTCTACAGAGCGTTTGGTCATCTGCTCCACAGGAACCGAAAGTTCAAAGCTCGCCTCAGACAGATATCTCCAGCTTACATCACCCCACCTGGAGCCTGGGGCTGCAGCTGTATAGGTCGCTCCGCATCGATGGTTCCCAGACCAACACCTTCATCTCCCCGCTTCTGTTGGCCAACTCCCTGCTGGCTCTAGAGCATGGAGCTAAAGGACCCACAGCAGGCCAGTTTCATGATCTCCTGGGGATCACCAAAAATGATAAGGCTGTTGGAGAAGTTTTGACCAAGGCACTGAAATATGTGCGTGAAGCTAATGGAACCAGCTACACATGGCACATTTCCTCTGCACTGTTTTCCAAACAAGCCCCTAAACTGAAGAAGAGCTTTCTGGAGAAGCTCCAGACCCACTTTGGGTTGCAGCATGTGGCCCTGGAGGATGCACAGAAACAGACGGACATGGAGAAGCTCCAGTCTTGGGCTAAAAGTGGGATGGATGGAGAAGAGACAGCAGATCTGGAACAGGCACTGGAGACCAAACCTGGAGCTATGATCCTGGCCAATGCATTGCACTTTAAAGGTGAGAAGAAAGAATAAGTTGGAAACTAGTTTAACTGGCTTAATATAATGCTAGCACACGATTATATTCTAATATGATATTGTGTTGATTTACATAATGAGGTTAAGGAAAGTTATTTTAATCACTGAGTGCAAATAACATATAACAGGACATGGCACATCACAAAGACAGACTAAAAAGCTTCTGTGAATAACATGCTTTAGGAACAGGCATTAGACACAGTTAAAATGAAGGTGTGGCTTGTCTACTGTACTTAGGGGATCAGGATAGTTGTGTCTAATCTTGAAGCTTTATGGTCCATTATGTGTTTGGACAGTAGCCAGACTGCATTGCAAAATTCATGGCTTCATCCTTCGCTTTACTTGAATGGCCTGTGGGATGTGAATGCTATTATTTTCTATAATTTGAGTTCTTAGTGATGTTTTGTTTGTGAGCTAATCAGTGTTTTTGAATGAACTGTAGACATGAAAGTTTTGTAGATATGCGAATTGTATAGATTATATTAGTGGTTAAATCCAGTTCTGTAATCACATTGGCAGATCGACGTTCCAAGAGCACTGATGTAAATTCTAACAGCACTGGGATTTAAATCATGAATTCAAGTGGGATTTGAATCATTGATTCAACTGATTGTTTCATTCAGGAATGAAACAAGAGACTGCTTGTATGGCTGCGTTCCACTTTGCTTTTAGACACACACACTGAATCTTTACTCAAATGACTCGCTCGCATAATGATTTAACCTGCAAAAAGATTCAATGAACAAATCTTTTTGGTGAACTGATTCAAAACAGTCAATGGGATTAATCAAAATCCCCACCCCTATATGTTATACTTATTTATTTTTTGATTAACACCTCATTTATCTAATGCTGCTCAAATAATTTAAGGCAAGCATTAACCATTTTAAAAGCTCAAACAATACTTTTTACATTTAGATTTTTTTCTTCAGTTCCAGTTCACTAACAATTCCAAGGTCATCAGTAAGTTAAAACAGTTTTACACTCACAGATATCAGCTCATACTGTATCTAAAAAAAGGCAAGAAGTGATATTTGAGCCAAACAGGATCAGACAGAGTGGTCATAGCACCGCTGTGCTTCCGCTGTCTTGCGTGCTGGAGAATTAGCTAGTACAGATTGTGCTGCTGCTTGATAAATGGACTATAAGCAGTTGCACGACTGATCCTGAAGGTGAAAATTTGCTTGGAGGATAAGGAATCACACTTTAGGGGGTGTGCAAAACATACGTGTGTGTGTGTGTGTGTGTGTGTTTGATTATAGTGATTTATGTTGGTGTAGCAAATGCACCGGTGAAGTGCATGTGTTTACTTATGTGTTTGTATGTATTTGTGTACGGTATACACTCCTGTTTGTGTTCATGCTGGGAAGTCTGATTTATTTTAGCAAACTCATGTTTAGTAAACAAATTGGTTGGAATAAATGATTCATTATTTCAATAAATTTTTTCATTACAGTTTCCAGACTGCAGTCAAGTGATTTACAAACTCTCTGTAATTCAGTCTGAACAAAGTATTTAATAAAAGCATCAGTTGAAAAGAACAATTCTTTTATTAATCGAACATCAGTAGTTCATGCATTCTCCTTAACAGCCAGCCTGCAAGGTTGATGACAGGCCATCGAGAGTATATCAGGAAGAGCCTATATGTATCTTCCCAGGAGAGGTGGTGTGTCATCTTAAATAATTTAGTAATGATCATCTGCATCTCCTGCCCTCCAGTGAGTGACTATATTCTTCATACAATACTCTTCTGCTAACTGCATACAGTGCAGTATATACTGCATACTGCCTGGCCTGCTATTTAAAAAAATATATTGTTACATGACAATCACTTTGCAATTCCGTGAATGACATTATCTTGTCATTTCTGAAATAAATATGATTTAAATCCATGTGTGCAGAAAATTTGCATAATATGCACTGAACTTGTCTTTTTTGGTCCTTATATTTACATGTATGCATTTAGCAAACACCTTTATCCATTTTTATGCACTTTTATCAGTTCAAGCGTTCCTCATGGGAATTGAACCTATGACCTTGGTTTTGCTAGCATGTTCTCTATCATTTGAGTTACAGGAATTTTTGCCAGTCAATCATGTGGGCACCATGGTTCTATGTGTAAGAGCTTGCATGGTAACTATTAGGCCAAAGCTCTGATTAAGTATTTTTAACCCTGAACCCATGTACAGACATTTTAAACTGAAAGGAAAAATTTTGACATACTCAAGAGAGGGTAGTTTTCTTGTCTTATTATTATTGAGCTGTAATAATAATATTGTTTTTGCACAAAAGCTGTGCAGTACATGCAGTACCGTGTTTAGTCAAATCAGAGACAGTTCAACAATACTTAAGTTTCTTGTCACTGAAAATGAGTTTTTAAGATGCCGGTGCTATATGCTGTTCTACTTCACTGGAGTTCTGTCTCTCTCTCTTTTTGTGCATTGTCTCACCCACATGCTGAAGTCTTGTTCTTGTCATTGATTTCTTTGTCTGCGTAATACTGGCAGGTGCTTTGATCCTATTTTAAACACAGAGCGATGGGAACGGAGCGGTAGGAGGAGAGCTTTCCCCACATGCTGGAGTCTTGTTCTACTCATTGATTTCTTTGTCTGCGTAATACTGGCAGGTGCTTTGATCCTATTTTAAACACAGAGCGATGGGAACGGAGCGGTAGGAGGAGAGCTTTCTCTACTACCAAACGCAACAGGAAATAAAGTTTGGATTGATTTTAGGTTGATAAGCAATCTAATTAATTTCTTTTGTTTTATGTTTTGACTTAATTACATATTTTTTCCCGTTCGCAAGCAAGAAACAGGAGTCGGTGGAAGTTCATTAATTCAGCCAATGAAATATACAAATTAGATCAGACAGTAGATTGGGCCCTGTGAATGAGATTATGAAAATTGAATTCATAGTTTGGATTTATAATTTAAAGGCAGTCAGTTGTCGCACCGCTTCAGGGTTCTATAGTACTTCATTTAGTCGCCAGTGTAATATTAACTTTGTCCAAAGCTTTTTCATCACTTCTCTGATGGGTCGTTTGTGGACTTTTACTCTTGGTGTTAATCTGAGAGTGGTTTTCTCTGCTCTCCTGAAATCTGTTCAGTCATGTCAATGTTTTATAGGAAAAATTGTCAAAATGTGCGCCTTCTGGAGTTCATTTACTTTAAATAATAGACATTGCAGTTCATTTCTCTGTCCACATCTGCAGTCCTCATGCCTCCCTGCAGCAGGACAATGGCATGTTCACGTAGGTGAGCAGGAAACCTGAGTATCTTTCTCTTCTGGTGTTTTTCAGAGTCAGTAGAAAGGTCTCTTTAATGTCCTAAGTTATTATAACTGTGACCATAATTGCCTTCCGCCTATAAACTGTTCCACAGGTCCATGTGCAATAATTGTTTATGGTTCATTGAACACGTTTCAGAAATATTGTTTAAACCCTTTGCAATAAAAATGTGTAAAGCTCATTTGTATTTTACAAAATTGTCTTTAAAATACACTGTTCCAAAAAAAGAGACATTACTTTTTTGATAATATTCCTGCCTGGAATGACTATGGTAGGATTGGCTACAGTACTCTGGTGCATGTACAATTCATAATTCCAGGTACACTGAAACAAATAGCCAGACACCATGGAGAACTGAATTAGAGCTCATAGCAGGGGGCAAATGGAGAGCCACAGAGGTGAAAGATAAGATAATTTTAGGGGTTTGGTCAAAGGCTTTAAAAGGAGAAAGAGAGAGAGAGTACTGTAGGCCGATTCCTGGTGTGTCGTGGTGGCAGCTCATTACCTCAGCCTTTGTGCTCTGTACAGCAAACCCCAAAAAACAAGCACACACACACTTTACCCCCGAAGCACGAGAGAAGATGAAAGCGCTTTAATTTAGAGCGTTTTAGCTTTATTGTTTGTGGCTCGGTTATTACTGAAAATGGGCATGAGAGAGCCTTCAAGATGCAAAACCGCACAATAGCTGCATTGTCTTTACGCTCTGTAATTAATGAAGAAGGTATGAGTGTCTCTCTCTTGCGAATGCTTGTTGGGTCATTCTGTTTCTCTCTTTCAGTCACAGAATCTCCCAGGATGTTTTCTTTCTTTTGATTGCCAGCCAAGACCTCAGTGACAAGAATCCTTGTGTGGCATTTCAGAAACTCGCATGGCAGAATTCCCCTTTTAATGCTCTCAGTTCCAAGAGCTTTGCCACCCCATAATAACCGACAGATACCATGCCATGTGCTTTGAACTTTAGGCTGATCAAATTTCATCCTCCTGTATAATTATTGAAATCCAACTGCTCTGGCTCTTGGCTTGTGTTCACAAGCTTAAAGGAAACTGCTAGCATACCATGAGGCGCATGCAAAGCTTGGCATGGGGCCGAACAGAGAGGTTTGCTTTCCCTACACAGGATCAGGTGTTTCTCATAATAAATGACAGTCTTGGGTTTATGAAATGAGACTCTTTTCTTTAAAGAGGAATTCTAGTTTCTGTCTCTTTGTTTTGTGTATTTTTTTGGTTTTGTTAATGGTATTCCTAATTATACATAAGGAATATGTTTTGAATTCCTCAAGGGGAGGATGTTTAATGCTGAAAGCAGTGGTTTTGGGACCAGGAGTGTTTAAAGGTGATTATGGAAATTTCATCTTGGGTGGCACATTCCTTTTTAAGGCACAGCAAAACTGAGGCCTGGATAAACTTCAGCTATAAATACAGAAGTGCGATCGGGTGACTTTGATGAGAAAGTGAAAAACTAGCACCAAATTAAAAAGGGGCTAGAGATCCTTCTAATACTGGCAAAATATTCAGCAACCCCGAAAACAATTTTTTTTGAACATATAAGCCACATTTAAAGTATAAATGCCAGTGCATCAGATAACAAAATATCAAACATGTGGCATTTTTTGTTTACGCATTTTATTAAAAAATAAAATAAAATAGCACAAGCACGCTATTCAAGCAAAATATTTTATGAAAAGGATGTTGTAAAGTTTTCTATTTTTAAATTATTTCAAAATGTTATTTATTCCTTCGAGGACAAAGCTGAATTTTCAGCAGCCATTACTCTAGTCTTTAGTGTCACATGATCCTTCAGAAATCATTCTAATATGCTGATTTGGTGCTCAAGAAATACATCATATTATTATCAGTGTTGACAACAGCAACAACACTGTGATACATTTACTTTTTCAGTATTCTTTGAAAGTTGAAAAGAACAGCATTTACTTCAATACATACACTCATATACATATACTCTAAACGTAGCTTTAGTGTCCATGTTTGCAGTTAATGTGACAAGCAGCACCAGTGGTGACTCAGCCAGGACACCTGACCTGTGTGACACATTTTTAGTGAACACATTCTCTAAAAATGTCCTTGAGACCCGTCGTTTAAAAACAATTGTAAAAATGGCTCAAAAAATAAAGACATTTCTGGGGAAAAATGCATAATTTTTGCAGGTCACACTTTAACATTTCGTATCTCATGCAATTATATTCAGACATTTTAAGTGTGGCTTAAGTGTCCATTGTGTCCAAATAATTTTTTGGGTCAGTGTAGGTCCAAATAACACGTGGCAGGGTTCAAACTGAGTTGCAGAGGCTGTTGACTGCCTTATGTGTTTGTCTCTTCACTCCTCTTGAAGAGCAATGTAGTACTTCTGGTGCTGCGAAATACAATAAAACGGCCTGGCTTAACCCCATATTGTCTTGCAATCATCCTTAGTATTTGATTTGACTTGATACTGCTTTTTTCGCTCTTTCTTTCTCTCCCATTCTTTATCTTTCCCTTGACTAATCCAATAAGGTGAAAAGACTGTGGAAAAGAACATGTGACTGTAATACTGCTAATAGTCTCTTTATCGAATCTCATCTTTGTCAGTGAATTTAATGGGTGTAATGGGCTGTAATAATATGTCCTATGCCTCTGCCTCCCCTGCACCCCTCCTCTTGCCTTTTCTTTCTTTTATCTTTGGTTCTTTTTCTGGCATGGAGTCTGTGATATTCCTTTGTATGATTTGACTCATCAAAGCCTTGATGTATGTCAGATCCAAACAGCATGGCTGTAAGATGATTGTACTTCTAAAAGTTTGTGTCAGAATGTTAAAATGCTTGTTTGTGCATGTCCGGGTCATGATGTCCAAGTCATGTTCATCTATTCACATGTGTTTTAAGTGGATTTTTCTGTTTGTAGGATTTTGGGATCGAGGTTTTTACCATGAAAACCAAGATTTGCGGAGCTTCTTGGGTACCAGATACACTAAAGTTCCCATGATGCACAGATCAGGTAAATTCCATCAGGCTTTTATCATTGAAATACACAACAAAGACATCCAAACTACCAAATGTTTGTTTTCCCAGGCGTATACCGTCACTATGAGGACATGGAGAACATGGTACAGGTGTTGGAACTGGGCCTGTGGGAAGGGAAGGCCAGCATGGTGCTGCTTTTGCCCTTCCATGTGGAGAATTTGGCTCGGCTGGACCGTCTGCTGACCCAGGATCGGGTTGAGAAGTGGTTGGGGAAACTGAACTCCACTAGTATAGCATTATCCCTCCCGAGAACTAAGATAAGCAGCACCGTCAGTCTACAGGTAATAGTCTAAATATTGTACATATCACTTCCTACACGGCCGTTATGAGTGTGTAAAATACTATTTCAAAACATTAAGTTATAGATAAATATTCTTAACATACAATGTAGATAAAACTCATTTAGAAAGCTAATGGAACATAACCAGATATGACATTAGCATAATGAGAACGAACCATAGGTCATAGATTATTTTCATTCAGTGAGAAAGCTATTTTCCTTTTAATGGAAATTGTGTTTGCAATGAAATTGCAGTCAGGCTTTAGAATGCGGTTGTATGTGTCTTAGGACACTGAGCTATGGTCTTTATTCTTTAAAACATTCCTCAGATGTGCATTGTAAGTGCTTCCATTGCCATCTTGTGCTGCTCTCTTTTTGAACACCAGCAGGCAGCATGTTGCTTTATTGGCCTGTGATCAGGAAGTTTTTTACAGAGTTTTTTTAGTCATAAAAAAGGACAAGATTTTGTCTTTTAATGAATGTATCTTTTAAATTCACTCAATATTTTGTCATGTCATATTAATTTTGGTCCATTTTAAACCTTATCAAAATGTAGGTGACAAAAGCATTATTTTAATTAAAACTAGATTTAATTGCTTGTCTCTGCAAAATCAATTTTGTTTGACTGCCAGACTTAAGACTTCCTTGTCTTAGTGGTTCATATGTGGTTACTAAGGTGTTTTAGGTGGTTGCTAGGTGTTAAGTTTCTATGTGATTTGTGTTCTGCTTCTGCCATGTGAGTCTGGTAAGTACTGTCATTATCTAACACGTTAGTGTAGATTAAAGTATCCTCCAAAAGTTTGGGGTCTTTACAGTTTTTATTTTTATTTTTATTTTTTTTAGAAATTAATAAGACATGATTGCAAAAAAAAACATTCAAATAATCCTTAAAATATCAGAATTTCCACTAAAATATTAAGCAGCACAACTGTTTTCAACACTGACTACGTTTACATGTGCACGAATAATGCGATTACTTCCAATAATCAGAGTAAGGACTTAATCACATTATGATGTTTACATGTCAAGAGCAAAGCTCTTCACTCCCATTTACATGCAATTTCCATTATTATTATTATTAGCTATGAATTGTGGTTATTTTTTTACTGCCATTATTCACGTACCCCACTGCACATCACAAATGATGGATTAATTTATTTACGTCCAATGCAAAACACATTTGTATGGTTGTATTCCATGCTTTTTCGGTGCCATAGAAATGTGATGGCAATTCGTTTGCCTACACTGCCGTCGCGTTCTACTCGCCGTTTCTGGATGAAGGTAAGGAACAGATGGTGGCAGCGAGTTGTGTTTTCCCCAGAAATGCGATGCTTTCTTTCCCGCCATCGTTTCTAATCTGCGTATTATTACAGGTGCGCATCAAGTCATTCATGTATGTCACAAGCACATGCGCACTTTGGTCAGAGCGGCAATACTGCGATTAAGGTGTTTACATGCCTGTATATTTCGATTAAAATCGGCGCACGCCACCTATGTTAATACGATTATGCTTGCTGCGATTATGAGTTTAATCGCATTATTTAAATCGAAGTATTGCATTTACATGAGGTAAAGTTTAATCGCAATATTGCCAAAATCTCATTATAATCTCATTAAGAGGGTGCATAATAAAAATAAATGTTACTTGAGCAGGAAATCAGCATATTAGAATGATTTCAGAAAAAGGATGGTGTGGCACTGAAGTTTCTGGAGTAATGGCTGCTGAAAATTCAGCTTTGCCATCATAGGAATAAATTATAATTTTTTTTTTAAATATAGAAAACAGTTATGTTAAGTTGTAATAATATTTCATAATATTACTGTATTTACTGTAGTAAACAGCATACACTCACACCCCAAACATTCTAATTTAGTTAAAATAGACCTAAAAAAAATTAACATAAAATTCAAAATTGGCATTTTCACTACGGGTGTGTCTAATTTCCATTGTAGTGCATAACATCAAAGTATCATACGTTTATGTTTACCACAGACCATGTTTTACTTATAAATTGAAAACCCCATTATAAAAACCCATAGGAAAATCTCGAGGGAACCCATGGCAAATTAGTCTTCTGGGTTTTGACATCTCAACTGCAGCACTCTATTCTTGTTGTGCAATATAGACCTCAACAGAAAGTCGTCCTATAATTGCATGCCTTATTCCCTCTTAAGTGTTTCCCATACAGACTAATGACTCTCCTGGCATCCCAAACATTTGTGCTCCTTCAAGGCCTGGGCCCTCAGAGAGACGACATCCTGGGTTAGAAGCTCAGCAAGAGTCTCTCCAGCAGCTCGGCCACAGGAAGCAGCCTGGACTTAGACAGCAAAGAGTGACATAGTTTTAGAATAGCACAGATGGTTCTGTCTGCACTGCTGAACAGATCTGGATTTGGACGACAGAGAGTGACAGTGACTGTGTCGGGCGTGTTTGGGCTGTTGAGTTCAGTGGATGAGACCGTGTCTGCTATGATTGGCTTGTGGGTAAGCACATTTGGATTCTTTGGTTTCTTGCGGTGGGTGGATATGTCAAGTGCGCCTTCGTAGTGCTCTTCTCGTGGATTGTGGAGGTGAAGTGTTTTGGAGCTTGATGAATGATTTTTTGACATGCTGCTGGCTCTCTTCTTTCCTTGCTCACTTCAGTCTTGTTTCTCCTTCCTCGTCTCTTTCCTGTCTCCCTGCCTGTTCTTCGTATTTGTCTTTTCTCTCTCCAGCTACCTCTCCGTCCTCCCTCTCTCAGCGTCTGACCTCAGCTCATCTATCTCCTGCCCAGAGTCCACTGGTTCCTCCCACTCTCCCTTTCTTTATTCATCACTTCATCCACCACCTCAATCTTTGTGTCTTGCCCTCTCATTTTCTCTCGTTTCTAGCTGGTCAGAGTCCCTGTATCTCATCTTCTGTCTCGCCCCTTTTCGTCTCTCGCACTCGTTCTTTGTCAAACACTCCTTTTCTCTCTTTACGTCTTTCATATTTGCCTGCACTTCTTTCTGCAGTCTTCTTTTCTTTCATTTTTCTGTCCTCTTATATCCGTGAAATATTTCACTTTTTTTTATTCTTTATTTATTGGAATCACCTGTGACCTCCTTGACATTTTCTGTGGTCAAAAACTACTTTCTTTTGATCTCAATTTTTTTTGGATGCAACTAATTTATTGTTTGTATAGTAGAGATGTGCATCTCATGACTCAGGCCGATACGATACGCATCTCGATGCATAGCCAACGATACGATACATTAAAGATACATATGAAGCAGCTACCGATGCGATGCGATGCGATACGATTCACCCCTGTTACGATGCAGTGCGATCCGATTTCGATTCGATTCAAAACAATGCGATTCAATGCAATACGATGCAATGGCGAAAATATGATCACTTTTAATGCCCCGAGGCCTGTTTCATAAGGCTTATTTCAGTTAGTCTGACTCCTTGTCAAATGATTTGGTTCCATAAAGCAAATTTAACATGGGCCTAGATAGCTTAGTCACTGTGGCAACTTATGCTGGGAAACTGACCTGGTCTAAAGCAGGTTAACTGTCAGACTAAGCGGAGTTCCTCTAACACTGACCAATAGGAACGCTATTATATGACTTTTTCTTTTATTTATTTTTACAGTTTCTAGCCAAGCAGAAAGGCTCTCTCTGGTTTTATGACAGCTGTACCTTTTATAGTTTGCAGAACAGATAGCAGAACATTAGAACATTACAATCTAAAATTGCTCTTTAAAGCATTAAAATAACTAA